TATATATATATGTAGAAGTAGAATCAGAAGAGAAGGTCAGACTGAAGACAAAGCACAAGCAACACAGGACTACCAAAATAAAACAGGAAGTACATAAGAGGCACGCCGCGTCACGTTCCCTTCTTCACACTTATTCCTCGGTTGTGTTCAGAGGACGGTTTAAACAGCGTTCGTGTTGAGTATAAAGTTTCTACATTTTTTATTATTGACAAACTTCCGAGGTTCAAGCCTCAGAACAGGAACGGTTGATGACTTCCTTCTTTAATAATGAACGTTTATTCGCTGAATATTGGGCGGCACTGGACTGTTGCATCAGCTGGAGCTTTGCAAAGTCTTTTCTTTCTAATAATCATTGTAAACATCACATATGAACACAGGGAGACACAACCCTTCGAATCAGACAAACGTACCCTCCGCTGCTTCACGTTTACCTAAACGTTATTTAATCAGCTGTTTTACTCTTTTTATTCAGATTAGTTTTAAACTTCAACTCTTTTATTGGCCGAAACATTAAACTCATCCTGTCGTATTGAAAACAGGAACCGTGTTCTGTCTGATTTTGTCATCTCGCTCAGATTCAGGACTGGGGTCCGTTTGACCTGGTGATCGGAGGAAGTCCCTGCAACGACCTCTCCATCGTCAATCCTGCCAGGAAGGGCCTGTACGGTGAGTCCCTGAGTGCATTCTGGGTATATTTAACGTGTGTTTTGGTGATTTTCTACTCTTTTAAAGGCACTAAAGCCACACAGCGTGATAGTTTCACTCTTTAAAGGTTGTTTCTGATGCAGCGATAATCTGCCTGCGTATTCCTAGTTCGATTTTAGCGTTCTTGACTGTTGATGGTTTTTGTCTCTCCAGAAGGCACGGGCAGGTTGTTCTTCGAGTTTTATCGACTTCTGAGCGAAGCCAAGCCCAAGGACGGCGAGAACCGCCCATTTTTCTGGATGTTTGAGAACGTGGTCGCCATGGCCATTAACGACAAGAGGGACATCTCGCGGTTCCTGGAGGTCAGTCACATGGGTGGAGAGCAGGCCTGTGCAGTAAATGGAGTTAAAGTTCAGGAAATCTGCTTAAAGTTGCTTCCTCAACATTTCCAACAAGTGTGTTCTGACAGATATGTGTGATTGCTGCAGGTTTCTGGAGGCAGTGTTGTTGAAATGTATTCCACTACGGATTACAGATTACATGCCCCAAAATGTAGTTTGGTCATATTCTGTTAAGTTACCCACTGTGAGTAACGTATT